GTGGGTTGGGTTGGGTGGGGGGAGAAGGACGAAAGTGAATGAGCGCTCAAGAAGGACAAAGAGGGAGGGGAGAGGAAGGGAGTTACCATCGTCTTGGCATCGCTCTTCCTTTCAAACCTCCGTGTAATGATATTGTTTGCAGTGATGCTCAGAGGGGGAGCACCTGCTGCTCTGTAATGATTCAGCCTCTTTCAGCCGCCGCTGTAACACGACAGGATGCTGCTGCTACTGTCACTTCTGCCGCTGTTATTACAGATTTTGCTTTTGCTCCTTCTACTGCATGACAATTCTTTTCCTCGTCTAAGCAGATACCAGCCTCAGATGCTCAAGGTGAGAATCTTGCCTTTCGCTCTGGGCTATTGGTTCACTTAATCCATCAGTTTTTCAGTGTTTGTGGCTTGCTTTCTCTCCATCACCCTCTTTCCTCCTGTTTTGTTTTGTTGTGCTTGCTTTTGGGGGGATGTTTCTTCCCTCCTGCGGAAGAACTGGAATTGCTTGAGAGGCGTTTAAGGAATTATAAAAGTGGCCAGCAAACTGGAGCTCAGTAATTGTGAAGCTGCTCTGTTTCTGAGAGGCAGAGAGAGCGACAGAGGGCTCAGGGCAGGGGGGGAAGAGGGGGAGTCTCATTCTTCCTGCACGTTACTCCTCTCCCAGTTTGGATGATGTTGCTGAGCTCAGACCTTCTGTTGACTCCGACTCTGTGATTTTTGCATACCCCTGTGACTTTTACTACCATCTCTTTTTGTCTGTGTCTCACAGTAATGGACTGTGATAGAGTTAAGGTCTTTTGGAGGTGAGCTGTTTGAGAGCTGATGCTTAAACATGTCTGAAGTAGCTGCTGACACTTTCCCAAGCTCCTCAGCTCAGCTGAGCCCTGACGCGTCCCTCGATGGGCTCCCAGTTGAGGACAACATGCCGGGGACCCAAAGAGAGGACAGGAGGGTCCAGGGGATAGCAGGCCTTGCTGCAACCTGCTGTGTGTGTCTGGAGGCAGAGCGACTGAAGGGCTGCCTCAACTCTGAAAAGATCTGCATCGCCCCTATCCTGGCTTGCCTGCTCAGCCTTTGCCTCTGCATTGCTGGCCTCAAGTGGGTCTTTGTGGACAAGATTTTTGAGTATGACTCTCCTACCCACCTTGACCCTGGGAGGATAGGACAAGACCCAAAGACCGCTGTGGATCCTACAGCTCTCTCTGCCTGGGTGCCTTCGGAGGTATATGCCTCACCTTTCCCTGTACCTAGCACCAAGGGCAAGGCTGAAGTGACAGTGCAAACGGACAGCTCACTCGTGCCCTCCAAACCATTCCTCCAGCCTTCTCTGTATAACCGCATCCTAGATGTTGGGTTCTTGTCTTCTGCCGCACCTTCGCTGTCACCACCCGCCCTGGAGCCTACCACAGCATCTCAGGCACAAGCGACAGAAACCAATCTCCAAACTGCTCCAAAACTTTGTAAGTAGAAGCTGTGTGTTTCTTTGTTTTCCCTTCCATCAAAAAAACCCCCAACAACCCCCTCCAAAAAGAACCACCCACAACAAAAAACAAACAAACAAACAAAAAACCCAACCCTCCAAAAGCGCTTAACTGTTCTGCAGCTGCTGCTGAGGAGGACATGTGATTTACATGTAAGCCTTAAATATACTAAAATGGGTATATCATGGGTTACCTTCTGAGTAGAGCACTTGGGGGCCTCTGAACTTAGTTCTGAGGTGTACATGGCAATGAAGACAACTTCATTTGGGACTTTGTAAGCTCCAGTATCACCCTTTTCTCTGCATCCACTTGTAAGGAAGTGTGTGATTTACTTCAAGGACTTTATCTGATAGCTATTCCACATGATCTATCAGCATATTTTTCATATAAATTTAATTTGTGCTCTGTGCTGGATCTTCCATGTGTATTCATTTTCTTTGCCTTGCCTGCAGAGCACTTCTGCTACCTCCTTCCTGAAGTCTGTTGCCGGTAAACATCCCTGTCATCCTCCTGAAACAGTCAGGGAGAACAGTGGGACAGAGTGACAGTGTATTTGAAGCAGTTAGAGACTGGGATATATTGATTTAGCAGTTACGTTATGATCTTTCCCTTTCTCTTGAGAGCATAGCACACATCTCTGCATCTTTCCTCTCCTTCAGCAGCTGATTCTTGTTGAACCTGTTCCTCAGACATTGCCTCGTTGACTTTCTTGGGGCATTTCAGGAAAGCTTTCTTGCTGATATAGAAGAGGTCAGTTTTCAAATTAGTCTTTGCTCATTCTTAAAGCAAAAAATACCCAGGGATCCAGGGTACCTGGATTATTTTCTCTATAGCAATCATAAAGCATCAAAATACTGCATTGCTGAAGTGTAATTTCTTTGACATTCATCATTTTAATCCATCAAATCCAGAGCAGATCAAGCCAGTAATTTCTGAGCTGTGTAAAATTGTGCAGTTTTAGTGAAAGAGAAGGCAGCACAGCATTGTGGGGAGAGCACAGGACTGAGGTTTCCTTTGGAAAGCTACAGTGATCCGAATGCGCAACTTTGTTGTTTGCAAATTGCCTTGCAGGACCCCATCTCATTTATTCTCCCTCATGCCTTCCCTGTAATGCCGCAGGATGGCCACCTTGTAGGTGGTACATACTGGACCTCAGGTTGGAGCCCTGAAGTCACCAGAAGTTAGCCACTGAGTTTTAGCCTCATCAGGACTGGACTCACTATAGATATGTGGCAGTTGGATTAAATGTAACATTTTGGGCAAACCAGCTTGCTGGTGAAAATGAGCATCACTGCAGTGATTTCAGTGAAGTTCCTTCCAGCTGAGAGTCAGTCCTGAATAATAATTCCAGAATCACTGAAAAAAAAGAAGTTTAAATATTCCTGTAGAAATCCTGCTGCCTTTTGTTTAGATAATGGGTGACAACCAGCTTTTGGTTTAAAAGTGACTTCTGTTATGGAAAAGTGTAGTAGGGAAATACTGCTGTGCAGCTAAATGAAAGGGAGTTTTATCTGTGGGAGATAAGACATTACTCGAATTATTGGGACACTTAACCACTGTTACAGTTATATAGAACTATACTAAGTGATTTTATTATTATTATTACTGATGCAATATTTTTTTTTTGGTTGTGCAAATATCGTAAGTGACATTAAAGATTTGACAGCACTTTTCACTTCATAAAGTGATCAGCGACCACCATCCAGTCAAAATGGCCTCTTTCATGTGAGGAGGAGAAGCAACTAAAGCCAGATCTTGAATTTCAAAGTGTGAGGCAAGCCTTTGTCAATAACCTGCTAAGTTTATCTCTGAAATAAAGTTGGGGAAGAAAAGCAATTCTTTGAGCAGACACCAACAAAAAGCCATTATCTGCATTCATATCTGCTCACATCTGAGAAATAAATGGTTGTCCAGAAATTAGGTGACTGGGTTGAGTTGGGGTTTTTTACTGTTGCCTTCATTTTCTTAAGATAAACATGTTTTAGGGCATTATAGACTTCCAGACAGATATAGACTGAAGAGAGAGAATGGGCAGCAGGTCAGGTTTGGGTTACTCTGAGGGAAAAGATTGTGTAGACAGTATTTATTTTGTGGCACGTAATTCTGATTATGGCAAGGGGCTGCAATTCCTTGCAAAAGAAGATAATATAGCTGGTAAAGTACACTACAGAAGATCTGCCTAAGAATTCAAAGAGGCACAAAAATAACCTTTTGGACAGCTCTAAAAGCACTGACTTGGGGTTTTTGAAACAGCTGCATTTTAAACATGTCGTGTTTTATGTAGAGCAAGATTTGTTGGAGAGGTTGACATTGCATCAGTGATAACTTTTTTTATGAATGCCTTTGACAGCTATAAAATTCTCAGAGAGATGGCTTGGAAAGTAGCATCTGCAAATTGGATTGTCCCTTCTTTTGCCTCTCAGGGTCCTTTTTTCCATTTCAGGCAGAGTGAGGTAACTTGTTCCCAGAAAGCCCCTTTTGTGCTGGCGTTTTTTTTTATTTATTTATTTCCAGTGCAGAAATAAAAATGAACTGACACATCTCATATTCTGTTACTGATGTATTGTTTCTGAACCAGATCCTTCCATGAGTTTCCAAATCTTTTTCTCGTCTTCTCCTCACTTTTCTGTCTTAGTCAGCATATTCCCCTTAAAGCTGTATCCTTCAAGGTCATAGTCTGATGAGAGCTAATTGATTCTTCTTTCTCCTGGAGCCTGGGAGACAAAGCAGAAGAGAGACAATACTAGTAATTGTGTCTGGTGCATTAGATTCAAGACTGGTCTCACTCCTATTATTATACTTTGCACTTTTTCCATACAGAAATAATCTCTTCCTTTCTGTTTGGTTTCTGTTTAATGTTGTAATATCTTTTCTCCTTTGCTGAAACAGAAAGAAAAGGTTTTAAAGCATTCCCATATTTAGGGAGCATGTCAATCTTGGCATAATTACACCAGAGATTTAATTACAAGCAGGATATACTATTACACAGTAACCTAGAATCTCCCTCCCTCTGAGAAGACATTCAGATAGTGAAAGTGCTAACACAGTTTGTGAGCTAAAGTTTACTTCTTCCCACACCATTACCTTTAAATACAATTCACCCTTCACCCAAGCTGATAGTAGATGTGGCTCTGTAGTACTGTCAAAACTACATTTTTGTAATAACTGCATATATATATCTGCAAACCAACCACCCCCTTCTTTACAGGTCTTACCACCTTCTCTTTCCATTTAAACAGATTTCCCTCAAAACCCCCCACCAAGGTCCATGTGGGGTTGGTTGCCTGTCTGGCGTGACAGCTCTACCAAAGGAGTGCAACACTGCTGTGCTTGGGCTCTGCCCTGAAGCAGAGGTGCCTGAGCCCTTGGCATTGGGGTCACATTTCTCCTGATGTGGTGAGGTGCCATGGGGTGCACAAGAGGCAGGGCAGGAGATAAACCTCAGCACAAGGACTTTGCTGTAATGGGTTTCCCTGTGGGCAGAATAAAAGGCCTGAGAGAGAGCAGGGTCCAGGGGATGTGCCTTCCTGTCAGGGCATCTGTGCTGTCTCTAAGCCCTTGCCGATTTCGGCTTCCCTGGCCACCTTGGGTGCCATGCACGGATGGTCCAGCTGCGTGTCTTTGAAATCTAATCCTCCCTACTTCTCTGAGCTGTAACACACAGAGGTGGGTGGGTGAATGTGGCTCCAGAGCTGTACATGCCCTTCGGGGGTATGCAGGGCTCCTCCCTACCTCACCTATGCTGGCCCTCACCTGGGAAGCATAGGAAAGCAAAGAAAGGGTGGTGCTGCTCCCTTCTCCTGTTTCTGACTTCTGCACCTTCAGGTATGCTGGGCAAGCATCAGCAAAGGCTGCTGCTTTCTCATCCTCAGTGAAAAAAGTATTAAAAGAATGCCTCTGAGGACTAGTAGTGGTCATTTACATAGGGAATGGTCTCCGAAGTTACCCAGGCACACTGGTGAATTTCATTTTAGAGCTAAGGATCGGAAAGAAAACTAGCCTGTCCCTTGTTTTGGTATAATCTTGTAAATATTCCTTGCAATTTCTCTCTGCATCTTTCACCTCTGCTTGTTCCTTCTCAGCTCTGCATTTGATGTCCTTTCTTCTACAGTAAATTCTTCTAACAGTGATTTTTGAAGGTCTGTGTTTTACCTCTGTGGCAGACTGGAGGGACGGGTACAGCAGCACAGCTGAAGGCTTTGATTTATGGACTGTGAGGGTTTGTGCATAGCAACTTCACAGGATGTTTGTTCTTTTTCTTGAAACACTGACCCATGGTTTGCTGTTGAAGTCCCCCATTACAACACTGTAGGGTTGAGTCGGGGATGTCTTGGAGACCTGCAGGGGGCTGTACGTACAGGAGGGGAGAACCAGCACAGTCTATGTACACCAGCCTTTCCCATGCTCACTGTTATCATGCAGGGCAGCGCCACAAGGGAGATGGCTTTTCCCCAAAGCTTGAAGATGCAGGAGGAGATCACCTTAAAGCAGTTGTTGCTCCCTTTCAATACAGTATTGATGCTGATTAGCTCCAGACACCTGACTTAAATGCCTACATTAGGAAGCTGGGCCGCCTTCTGCTTCCTGTTCAGGATGAAGGAAGAGTCCTCCCCTAGGCAATTCCCAGCCCAAATCTGGAAGGAGTAGCTCTTTCTCCAATGAGTGGAGACTAACCTTGCAATTCAGTTTCTAAGTTAAATATCTGCTGCACGGTATGAAAACTCGTTTTGAAAGCCATGATGTTTCTTTGACATGTTCTGTGAATTAACAATTTCTTGTCACTGGGAAGTTATAATTAATCACAGTTAAGACACCTGACAAGTCCTGAGCCTCACTCAAGAACATAATAAAGAGATGCTGATCTCAGTAAACCCTGGAGACATAACTGGGCCTCCATTAACAAGCAGCAATGAAGCAAGTGCCACTCTACTGAGCCAGCCAGTCTGTATTTCCCTGAAACACTTCTTTCTCTGCTGTCCCAGAGGTC